AAGGCGTTAAATCCATCTGAAAGAATGGAGCAAGCCAAAAAAGCACAGTTGTGTTTTAAATGTTTAAAACACGCATTTAATAAAAAATGTCCCAGCGGTATTTCGTGTTTTAAATGTGAGAAAAATCATCACAGCATGATTCATATAAATTATAGTAACAACCAAAAAAATAAAAAGGTTATAAAGAATATGACGTCGGAACAAGTGTTGTTAGCTAGAGCACAAGTTCAAATTAAATCTTCTAAAGGAGGATTCGAAAAGTTTAGGTCTTTGATTGACAGTGGTTCTCAAAGCACAATAATTTCTGAAGCAGCTGTTCGGATTTTAAAACTACCGCTTATTCGATCTCAAAAGGAGACCAGTGGAGTATCGTCCACAGGAAAGTGCATCTCGAAGCACAAAGTAAATCTTTTAAATAAAAGTAAAAGTTCAGAAAAAACCATGAAAGTGGAAGCTATTGTACTTCCTAAAGTAATAAGTAATCTTCCGATCAACACAGTCAATGTTGACAAATCGAAATGGGAGAACCTTAATTTAGCTGACCCTGAATTTGATAAGTCGGGGCGGGTGGATCTGATCATTGGATCAGATATATACACTCACATTCTGCAGAGTGGAGTTGTTAAAAAAGATGGGCTCCTAGGACAAAAAACTGATTTCGGGTGGATTGTCTCTGGATGTCAAAAATCCAATGCAAAAAAGACTATTGTAGGGACAACTATTAATTTTAACGATTTGGATAAATTTCGGAATTTAAAAGGAAAAAATAAAAATAACAGTAATTTTATTCCCCCGGCAGGACCTCACTTCGGAGGTAATGGTAAAGTTGACGTTAGTTCAGCTACGAAGAAGAATAGTCCTAATGTAGTGAAAGGACAGGTTGTCCTAGTACGAGATCAGACTTCCTATTTAACAAAGTGGTTGATGGGAAAAGTGGTTCAGCTCCGTATAGGAAAAGGCAAAGAAACAGTAAAAGTTGAATTGCAAAATGGTTTTATAAAAAGAACTATAAGCCAAATTTATCCACTAGACAAATTGAAGTCTGGAAATAAAGTAGAGTTTGATCCTAGAAAAATATGACAAATTAGGAAAATTTGGAGACTAGGGTTTTATCTAGACTAGATAGTTACTTTGATTTCATTCATTGGTAAAAGTTTCAGGTGCACTCCAAAATGTTGCAGAGTGTATTTAAAAAGTTAAGTAGTTGTCAGCTTAAGCGTTTTCTTGTTTAATTCTTTAGGTATGGACAAAATAATAGTTGCTTAACACAACGTACAGATAATAAAATATTTGTCTTACATAGAAAACGAGATACTAAAGATTCGATGAAATTAGCTCAACTTACCATTAATTATCCATTTGGATGAAATCAGTAAATTATCAAATGAAATTAAAAATGCCGATTTTAGACAATGCATATTTAAAACTAAATATCTAAAAATATTAAAATACAAAGGCAATTACAAGCCATAGCCATACCAAGCGGTATGCATAATATCTAAACATATAAATATAATAAATTATTAGAAAATGTTTAAAATAAATAATTTAAAGATTTAAATTTTGTAATGTTATAATACAATCATTTCAAGACGTTGCAAGGTGGTAAATTTGTTATGCAAGATAAAATATATCGAATAAATACAGTCCACTAATTTTGTATTGCAATAAATATAATCAGCAATGTAATTATATCGCATACACCTCATCTTGCCGGCCCTTGCCAGAATGTTCAGACGAACACTGATAAATAAAGTATAAGATTTTATGAGCTTTGTCCATGTCATGTGTCAATATGTAAATCTATCTAGAGCCATAAACTATGATCTGTAATTGTAAGCCCTACAACGGAGCGGTGCTAGCACTTGTAATCTGTAAGTGCAGGCCACTTGAGCCTAGCCGAAAATAATCACTTGAGATGTCTCTCACGCTGCACCAAGGGTTCCTGTGCGGGGGTCAAATGATAACTCTCCCGCTCAGGCAGACGCGGCCTCTGCGTAGGCCACAGATAAGATCAGAATAGGAATTTCATGTTAGTTTCCTAAGCAGGGACTTTGAAAATAAATACTCAGTTTTAATACAGAACTCAACTGAAAAGGTTGTTTTACTTAATTCATCCCTTTCACGGATTATTCGACTTTAACAATATCAGAATCATATCGAATTCTTCAAGTCAAGAGAATCCGCGAATTCTTAAGGTCAAAAAACGCGAATTCATTTAGGTCACGACATGGCCAAACGAACAAGAACCAATTTAAACCATATTTAAATTCCCAATACAATGGCCGCAAAAGCGAATTGAGTTTTATTTTGAGTTTTATAAAATAAAACTCACACATGATCATGAGTTTTATAATAAAACTCAAAAATAATTATTACCATTGATTTTTAAAAATAAAACTCACAAAATAAAAATCATTGCAGATTTGCATAACTTGACCAATTTGGAACTCATTGGTGTTCTTGATTTTTTTGTAGCACTTTTCTAAGTGGATGATTTTTATAGTCAGGAAAATTTGAAATAACTGTTATTTTCGGTCCCTGGTCGTGGATCGATATCATCATTTTGAATTTAACTGAAATTATTGCACAAAGAAGAAGATTTGAATTTTAAACCATGTCAATAGTCCGTTGCATCAAAAGAGAGAGAGATAATTTTGTTATACTAGGAGAGCATCATTTGAACTTGAGTCAGATGTGCATGGCGCCTGTAGTTGTGAAACTATACATAAATATACATATTAGGGTGGGTCGATTTAAAGATCAACAAATTGGAGGGGGGGAACGTATTCTATCGACAATTGGGTAAGAATTTCTCAACTGCGCATATGAAATTTTAGATATTCTTCAAACTCGGGTACCTCGTAGACTTTGGCTTGGTTATACTTTGTGATTTTTTTGAAATTTTTTGGTGTTCATTTAGGGGTGCTATGAATTTTTGAAGTTAAAAACTTAAAAAATGTTCTCAAACTTCAAATTAGTATATTTCGAGAACGGCTTAGAAGAGCAACGTGCAACTATACACGTTTTTAAATGTGTACTGGGGGAGTTAGATAATAATTTTTTTAAATTTTTTGTTGTCCAATAAGTATGAATTTTAATTATTTGAAATTTTTTATCGCTGTTTTAAATGTCTTCTTCATCCTTTAAAAGAAACTTAACTATCCAAGATTGTCCATCTCATAACCAACTTAATTTACCCGAAGAAACATTTTTGTTCCTTTTCATCATTTCCAAGATATATAATTTTTATTGCGAATTTAGAATAACCCTATTTATATTTCCAATGAGTACAATTCTTACATGTTTAAGCTGAAAGTTTGCACAACTCAATTACTCACTGATATTATGCACATATATTAATATCATAATTTTACCACCATCCCTTCATATAGCTGCCATACAAATCGATGGATTTTCTTATTGTTAAGAAGGTAGGCTTGAAAAAAAATTTTTGTTTCAGATTGTAATTTTAATTGTGGCGCTCGACTGAAATAAACCAAATAAGCCGAAGAATAGGTGTGGAAAATCTCAAACTCAGCGTTCATACAGACAGACAGACGGACACTTCCATACTGTCGCTCGGGAAAAAATGGAAAAAAGTTTATTTTATTTTTAAAAATGGGCTTTCCTTTTCACTCTTCCCAAGCTCTATTTTGTGTAAAAATCTTGATTTTGTACCACTTTTAGTTCTTAAGATATCATTAAAAATCTGCCGTATTCGCTCGGGACAAAAATAGAAGTGATTTTCGGGGAAATTCATTTAACACTAGAATTTAGCGAATTCTGATGGAATATTTGAATGCGATTTTTTTTAGAATGTTGTCCAAATATGTCGCTGTGAAATGGTTTTGGTTTTACTCAAAAATGGTTTCCCGTTTTTGTTTTATGTAGTTTCAACCACATTCGCTCGGGACATGTCGCTCGGGACATTTTTTCTCAGCGTTTTGTAAAGTGTATTTCCTTACCTCTATCCTTCAATTACTGGCTGTTTTGCTTTTAACCTAATAGTTTAACATTTAATTGAAGCATTCAGTACAGAAAAATGTCACATATTAGCATTCCTAAAGGAAATGTTTTTGTTTTTTTTAAGTTAATAGACTAACCTTACGATTAGTACCTAATGCGTGAAGTTTCATAAGTGAATGTCGAAACGGCAGATTAAAATCCAACCTGCAGACCTATCCCCTATTCGCCTCAAAATGTAATGAATAGATTTTCGCACCAACAGAAAACAATATTATTAGCAATACTTCTTCTTTTGCATATACTCACCAGACACTTGGGCAGTTAATTTCAATCTACTACTAAACGAATATTCAACTTGAACTCATTGATAACCTTTTCGGCCTGGGTCAGCTACCAAAAGTCAAGCGCTCAATTTCGTAACTTTATGTTTGGCGCACAAAAATGTTTTATTTACTCTTTTCCATCTGCTTTTGGTCCTCTTCCTGGTTTTGGACCAAGAGCCATGAGCCAAAAGCCGAGGACCCACTACCAAGAGCAACGACTAGGACCGCTACAATATTGTAATTTGGCTTGCAGTCCGCAAAGCCAACCAAAGAAAACAAAGAAATCAGAGGAAAAATCAACTTTGTGCAAATAAATGCAAAATAATATTACGAAAAGTTGACCGTAAAAAGATGCCGGCCCAGTCGAGCGAGCGGAGCTGGCGAGGAGTCGTTGCACTCGAAGTGCTGGTGCTCCGGTGCTCCTCCTGCCGCCGCTCCTTCCTGTGCCTTGAAACGAGCACACTTAATTTCGAAATAGAATTTTACCCTCTTGGCGAGGGCCAAAAGTTTTTTCCGCTTGCCTTTCGCCCATTACTTGGCCATTGATTTCAATTCCATTTCGCCCATTGGCTTAGCTGGCAGTCGCAGCCTAACCGTTTTTCCATACGGATATTATTTAATGTGCAATTTGGAGAATATGTTAATTTTTATCCCGGTCTTGTGGCCCTAAGTTGGCGATTCGCTAGGAAATATGTTTGAGGTCTCAACTGGTTTTTCGTGAATAAATTTTATTATTCCATGCGGAGACGACTGAAGGCCTAAGTATAAGGAAGGAGCAAGAGCGGGAAGTCAGTCGAGTGAGGCGACTCTACTTCCCGAGTGTACTATCAGGATCAATTTGGTTCAATGTGCCTAGGTTCGGGTCAGGGTCTTAATGGCGGTGGCGGTAACGCAGGCGGCGCACTGTCTTGTAGCGGTATCCGTCCTTGGCGAGCTCGGTGCCCTCATCGGCGGCCTTGGGCTCGGCTTCTGCGGGGACGGCAGCCTCGGCGGGAGGCAGGTACTCCCCGGCGGGAACCGCATCGGCAGCAGCCTCCTCGGCGGCAGCCTCGCGACGGTGGCGGCGCAGTTTGAGCCGGCGCACAGTTTTGTATTTGTAGCCATCGTCCCCAAGAATAGTCTTCAGCTCAGGGGCCAGTTGCACCTCCACGGGCGGCAGGTACTCGTTGCTGGGCTCCGCGATCTCGGAGACGTCGCGGCGGTGTCGGGCACGGAACTTGAGCTTGCGCACAGTTTTGTACTTGTAGCCGTCGCTCGCCACCTTGGTGTCTCCGATTGCCGCGGCGTCCACGGGCGGCAGGTACTCCTGGCTGGGCGCGTTATCCACTGGCGGTAGGTATTCCTGGCTGGGCACCTCGCGGCGATGGCGAAGCTTCAGCCGGCGCACCGTCTTGTACTTGTAGCCGGCGTCGGATAGCTGGGCCGCTTCCACTTCGCCGACGGGCGGCAGGTACTCGGCGGACGGCTCCAACGCAGCAGCGGGATCTGCCGACTGGGCTGCAGCAAAGGCCACCAGGCAAATGGTAAGGGCGGCGACGAAGAGTTTCTGGACAGAAACATGAAAGTGTTAGGGCATTTCATTGTTGAACTCACAGTTTCATTTAAAGCATTCATTTTAGAAAAACTTTTGTGCTTGACTAAACATTAGATAATTCTTCTAACAGAATATATTTTCCTATCCCTAAGGACAATCTGAGAACCTTTGAAGTCCTTATGCTTGCAGTGCACTCACCATTCTGAAGATATAGTTCTCTGGGAGATTGGCGAACTATTCGAACTGACTGAAGATGTTGCTGTGTCACTAGTATGGAACCCAATGATGCCTTGGTCCAATTCGGCCCGCGTCTTTATAGCCAGAATTTGGTCAACTTCTCACGACCAAACTCTAAGGTAAGTTGAACATGGCCGTGTCGAGTGCTCATCAAAGCCATCATCGAACTCTATTAACCACTTAAGCGAAGACGATAACGCTGGTACTGGTCTATGGTTGCCGAAATTGACGATCCGCATTCGGCCACGCACTTGAGCGCAAATATTTTTGGACCTGGTCTTTGATGTGAAGTGTCTCGCCCATATGTGTGGCAGCGATGACGTGTGAATGCTCGATAGAGCTAATGTGGAAAAAGCCTTGTGGTAGCCACTAGCAAACAAACTGGTCGGCGGTCTCCTGCCTGAGTTCTCTCAGTCCCACCAGCCGTATTTTGACCAATTGTATCAGACACTTCACAAGTTCTCTTAAAATCTGGCCTTGAAATCGAATACATTTTTGGTAAATTTGTTTCCTGATTGCTTTAGAGTATCTTGAAGTGAGAGTGATCGAGGCCCTGGTCGGACAAAAAAAAATGGATTGCCTATTCTTACACTGAAAAACAGACCTAAAAACTCACATGAAAGTGGAGTTGTACATATGATTTTTTTTGGCGAAGTAGCCTAGCTCCTAGCTCCTTGCTTAGTGCATATTTTCCAAAAATATACACGGTATGATATAAAAGTAGTTTTTGCTAGTTTTCTAGTTTTTCTGTGTATTCTCTGCTGTTCACTGAGCTAAGTGATGACAGACATTTTTCAACGAGCCCCTGAATCAACGTTAAAAGCTTGGGATCACAAAACGTCTATTTTTGTCATTTTTACTTTAGTATTCTTGGCAACGTTTCAACTATTAAAAAAGTACTTCACCCCAGGCTCTGACAAAATGGCCCTGGTGCATCTGTCCGACACTAAGCGATAAACCATATCATTTCTAATAGCACTCGGCAAACACAGACAACAGGCAAATATAAATGATGACAGCGACAATCGGCCAAAACAATAATACGCAACTGTGCCAAAAATTATGCATTGAACAGAGTTCTGGCCTTTAATTGTCCCTATACATTCGTCCTCTCTTCCAATTATAATTTTGCTGGATAAAGCGAGTGCTGGATGCCGGTTGACTGCGTTCGTCAGCCCGCAGGACACCTTGGTGCGATATGTTTTGCATTAAAATGAAATTAAATGGATGAAGCTTTATCTGTTATTGACACTGTAGATACTGCCATTGTTGCAACAGGCATTGCTGCTCCTGAATATTTAATAGGCTTCGGGGATACATGGAGGTAAATTGGAACGTGATATGAAACGATGATCAATTTGATATTATGTGGTATTAATTTTGACTTGATATACGGCATCTCAATTCGATATGCTCGAATTGTAAGCAACATTTTCCAAGTAAACCAGATCGAATTTCTCCCTCCCACTCATGCAACTTTAAGCGCTATCTCGCTCTGTTTCTAAATTAGAGAATTTGTTCTTTTCGCTCCCAAATAATTACTTTAAGCTGCCAAATTGCTTCTTCTCATCTTTTTCGAAGTCAGAGGATCTCCGGGAGAGAGAAATCGGAAAAATTACATTATTTTATATCCATTTTACTTGTATTGCCTGGTAAAAGCAATTTACACTGCGCCTATGGACTTGAACCAGGTGTTTTTTTTGTGTGGTTACTGCTTGAAATTAACCATACCCGTCGTTTTATATCTGTGAACACTGTGAAGTGCAGACCGACGCAGACCACTTCTCTTAACCATACGTAATATATTTGTATACCGTTGCAGACGGTGGTCGAAAACGTCTCCTTCACTGCGTTGCAAACTTTTGACTGAAATTACAAATCTGATACATACGGCCCTGTTCTAGTTTTCACTTCCGAAAGATTTACACGGAATCGAATTTCCCAGACTGGTTCCAAGACTCACTTCCGAAAGAACTGCACGGATTCAAAAATCCCTCGTTGTTACTCTGTTAACTTCCGCACCTAAATCCGTCAGCATGAAATTCACTTCCGAGTGAAAACTGGAACAGGCCAGATAAACTAAACTAACAAATCTACAGTCATGCATGGCAAAGGTTAAACTATATGGTTATATGAATTTATGTATGCCAGAGCAACCTTCATTATTTCTTTGTTTTTTTTTTTTAAATAAAAGTGTTTTTTTCTTTCTTTATTTCATTAAGCTGCTTTGGGTAAATCATTGAGTTCAAAATTCAAGGAAAAGAAGGTAGCCTATTTTATATATGTATATTGGTAATAAATTGACAAATGACCAGAAGAAGCGGCTTGACATAAACTAAGCGCACTACAGTCGCTTTGCCCAGAAATAAAATACTTCCCTACGGCTTTATAAACGTCTCGCCTTAAACGAATTTAATCGGAAGTACCGTTTTCTGCCTCCTCGCATTATCAGCTTGTGCGTGGGCTCATTTATCGTTGCATGCGGCAATCTGCTGAAGTTAAGGGCTTAAGGGGCCGGCCCATGTGTGCACACTCCTTGCCTTTGACATCTCCGCATGCCATGGTAATGTGTCATTATATTAAAAGCTTTGCAAATACGCCACCTACCGGTCGTAGGTGGCGCAGCCTTCCCACGTCTCCCCTCCCCTCACCGCACCATCCACCAACCCTAGATGAACCAGCCACCAGAGAGCCGGCTGGGCTGAAAATTTCATTAGCGTTTCTACTTTGTGGCCGTGTTGTGTTTGCTCATAAAACTAAGATGCCATTGGGAATTCGCCGCAGGTTTGTGAGTGAGCCTGTTTGTGTGTCTCCTTCAAGAGCAGCCAGCAAAGTAGGCAATTAATTTGTTAATTGGCGTGAATATTGTTAGTCAAATTGATGGCAGTTGACGAACAGGGGCGAGGCCAAACGGCAGAGCGAGCCATTTCCGAAGCAAATTGAGTTTTCGCACTGTGTCCACTGCGAAGGACTAATTTGGCCAGTTGAGTGGATTTTGATTTGAATTTGGGGCAGTCGGACTCAGAATTGTATTAATCAAGAGGCCTTCTGGGATGGGGGCCGAAGATATGACATTTGATTTCGATTAGGTGTCCTTAGGGCCTGTGCGAGGGTATTTCTTGTGACCAGATTTAGCCCCCTGAAACTTTACAGCCCATTTGAATAACCCCTTTAATGGCGCCATTATTTTCCTGTTTAAATGCGACCCTTTTCACCTTTCCTTTTGGGGCCGTGTATTTGCATTCGAAATTTTATGCATCCTTTTTGGCCAAATGCCGCGCATTGTTTTTATGCTTGCCACATGTCGTTGATATTTTCGTTTTTGTCGAAAGAGCCTTTAATGGGCTTTTGATCTTTTCATTACGGTCATCAAAAAACACAAAGTCCTGCGCCGCCACCCCCCACCCACCTCTCTTTGTTTGTCCCCCATACGCCGATTTGATTTACACAAAAGGACAAATGCGATTTCACGGCCACGTCGGCTGTTCACATATTTGCTGGCGTTGCTGCAATAATCAAGAGGTGCGAGCCGTGCAACAGTGCGTATTATGAATTTGGTTAACCGGCTCGATGCGTCAACGAGTTGGGCGAAAACTAAAATGCGCTTTAACCACATCTCCAAATGCACGGGTGTTTGTGTGCTCGATGTGTAGAGGAATTTAGCACGAATTTCCGTTTATTTTGTCATCAGGCGCCTGCTGTGCGTAAATAAATAGAGAAAATAGTTTATTTATTTAGAAGCTGACGTTTTTTCACCTCGCACGTTCAAAGCAATTAGGGTGAGCATCTGGGAAATGTTAATTGAAAATATATGTAGAGCCCGGCAGCATCATTATCCCTACTGCCACCACTACCGCCGTCGCAAGTACCCGAGTTTTGCAGCATTCGAGTCCATAAATGCCATGGCCCTTCTTGTAGCACCTGTCATCGCGGTCGTTTCACCAGCATCCGGAATGTCATCATTACGACCGCACGGAAGGGTGGCCTGAGCTGCTCCCCTCGTTTCCGCCCCGCTTAGCATATGCTGGAAATGTCCTCTTAATTCACCAAATCCCTCGCTGGCCGCCCGTACCGCCCAATCGCGGACCGTTTTTTGCCCTGTTGCCCTGGTCGATGTCAAACAATATTTATGTACTAGTCGCCTTCGCTGTCGCACTCGCATAATGCGCGGATTATTTTCTTAATTGATGTCGATCGGCCTATTATGCTCACATGCCCGTGCCCAACTGGACAACGGTTTGTGCGCTAAATTAAATTTTTAAAAACTGCGCCCGCGCTGTGGTTGTGCAAAATTTATTCGCGCTAAAAGTTAATTTGATTTTGTTGACCGCATGTACAATTTTGAACTATTTGACTTTGACAAAATTGCGGATTCAAATTGCATTGAGCAGGCGTAGGATGTTGGCGGTGGGGCGGTCAGAGCACTGAGTAACCAGAATCATTAGCAATTTCGGTTTTTATTCTATTTTGCAAATTGAAAATTTCTGTTAATTGGTCTGCAGAGTGCCTGGGAGGACAAACAAGCAATCGACCTATTTGGTTACCAGAACAACGTAACAGTTCGAACGAGTAAAAAACAAAAGGGACCCTGCATTGGGGAAATTGTTGAAATACAAGAGCAATCCGACGGGTTTTCAGATGGTCGTCCTAATTAAAAACAGATAAATAATGGCATGCTCTCATGCTTTCGGTGGGTAACGCCTACTCGGCTCTGATCCCAGCACTTCTAACTCGCCCGATTTGGTGATAGGTCTATGAAAAATGTATGCAACTCAATATCCGGTCGGCTAGAAAGCCGTGCTCTCTACGGCACGTTTCGCTTCCTGCTGCACTTTACAGGATTAAGCACTTAACAACAATTTTACGCACGCATTTTAAATTAATTATGTATCGGCTATAAATAAATAAAATGCACACGCACCGAAACTTGCAAATTATGCCTCGTCCTCCGATGCCGCTCGCCCTGGAGCCCCGCAGCCCCGGGTCCCAGTCCCGACACCCATGAGTGCCCCTGGAAGGCCGGGGGATGTTGGTGTCGAAAGCCGCAGGACGAACATGTTGCGCTTA